CCGCTTGCTTTGCATGTTGTTCTCTGCAAGTTGTTGTGTTCGCTGTGTAGTGTGGCTGTGTTGTCGGTGTTGCCTTGCGCTTCGCTGCTCCGCTGCCTTGCTGCCCACTCGCTGGCCGTGCCTTCCGTGTTTCCGCGCTGCGTGCCATGTCTTCCCTTGCAGTCATTTTTGGCATTGTGCAGCCGTGTTGCCTCTACTGTGCTGCCTGGTGCGCCACAGGGTCGTCGCCCGCTGCTGTGTTCCACTTGGGGACAGTCTGCCTTCAACAAGGGTCAAAGGGTTCATGACCCAAACCATCTAATACGGAGATTCCCGCAGATTGTCGAGGGTTCAGCCTCCTGATGAGTCGGTGCAACTCCGACGAAACAATCTTTCATCATCAGTTTTTATTTTATTTTTTTCAGGCTCTGAAACTTTTATGGACTTTACTTTTTTCTGATTTGCCTGCCTTTTGTGCTTGTTGTTGTCTGCCGTCCTATATCCCTCATGCCTGTTGCTGGTGTGTTGTCTTCCCTCCCTCCTCCCCCATGCCCTCCAGCCTATGTGTTGTCTTGCTGTCTGTGGCCTGCGTGTTTTGTTGTTCTCCCTTCCTTGCCTTTGGACTCAACTCCACTCAGATGCGTATTCTCCTCTTGAAGTGTTGTGATGGTATGGTGCATGGTTCTTACTGTGCAGAAGTGTCCGCAATATGTGTTCACACACATCATCACACACACACACACACACACACACACACGCACACACACACACACACACACACACACACACACAGAGCATGCTTGAGGATTGTATCAGAGATAAGAGGGAGAACCGTGTGCCTAATGCAGATCGATCGCATGAGGGGCATAGTCGTGATCAGTAGGTTTTTCTTTTCTTCCCTTTTCCGATTCACTGACCCGCCTCCCCTCCATCAATCAATCAATGGCTGAAAAAGAAAATAAAATGACACGCAGCGAAACTGCAAGGTACCCGACTGTTCATCACTTGCTGGAGTGCATCAGATCACATGCATAAACACAGATTTCACGAATTGAGATGTCTCACACAAAGCCCAATAGAAGATGAATGAGAACCAGGAAGCTCAACTCAATTATCAAAACCAGATTAAAGAAGGAACATCGTGAGTCCAAAATATACAGCGCTGAACAGAGTTACAAGTCTTCTTCAATCAACATGTGTACCAGGCCTGGCGCTCATCAGCGCCAACTGCCAATCATCAACAACAGCGCTCAACTGGTAAGTGTCACCATAGCTCACTCCTCCCCCTCTCTTATCTTCTTTCTTCTCTCTCTCCCTCTATGTTTATAGTCCTGGTCTACTCACACTGACCATGCATGCACACTTGCACGAGGATCTACTCTGAATACTACTCACTGGTACTCCTACTACTGACCCTTCTACTGCTACTAACTTCTGCTGGCGCAGCTATGGCTGCTTCTCTCAGCCAGCGCCCAGCTCCCTTCTTCTCCCTTAGCGCAGCTCTCTAGCCTTCGCAGTTCACTAGCATTCTGGCGCACAAGTGCCTCAGCACTTCCACACTCTCATGCCAATGAGGATCTGCCGAATGGGAGGCTGGCCAGGTCCTTTATACGATTGGACTGACTGAAGGAGGTCTGCGTCCAGCCTCCCTTCACCTGGGACTCTTACCCAGTACCTGCTGCTGCAAAATGTGTGTCCCAGTACCCTTCCCCATGGTCTGCTGCTGCTGTGGCCGTCGGGCCTGTCTTTTGGACTCCTGAACTAAATCAGACGTGACCTTGGGAACTGTGACTGGCTTGGGGCTGTAACTTTTGACTTACTATTGAACAGACGTGACCTTATCTTTAGCACTAAAACAAAACACATTGCCTTTTCGTCCAGCACCTGACTGTGACTTTCCACACGACTTTTCCTTTTCATTTGGATGCGACCTTTGCATCAGAATACTTGTCTTTTGGAATGCTACACGTGAAATTAAGTTCTGGCCGTCGGGGCCCACTATGCTGGGGTACTCACTTGGGGTCTGAATCATAAAGGCCCTTTTAAAACCATGTGTGAGCTTGACTGGCTGCCCAGCAGGGGAGTTCAACAAACGATCAATCCATCCATCAATCAATCAATCAATCATTCAATCCACCTGTCAATTGCTCTTTC